GGGGTTGTTAGGAAATAGTGAAGAGCGGATGATACGTGGAGGTGAATGAAAGATACAAGTGGGAGCGCCACACTTAGCATGTCCCACAAAGAAACATACGCGCGCACTCCACCTCAAAACAAGCACGACAACTAGCCCGGGGTCTCCCTCGTGAGCCACGCATCCTCCTCCTTTGCAACCGCTAGTCCAATTTCATTTTTAATTTTAATTTTTATTTTTAAATAAGAATGACTAAAATCAATCTGGCAGTCTCTTTCTACCGCTGAGTTGTATTGTACAAGATTTTTTTAGTATTCAAAACGTAAGTCATCACGTAAGAAACATGTAGGCAGCATTACATATTTTTCCACAAGCGATGTGCATGCATATGAGGACGGAGAGTCGTTTTCGAATTTTATTTGTTTATTCGGTAATTAGATACTGTTGGGAAACAAAAACGTAGAATATTAATATCACGTGCAGTTTTTGCCAGAGCCTTTAATGAACAAAACTGTGATAATGTGATGCGCGCCGAGGACTTCTCTGCGATTAGGATATGACGAATTACGCCGTATCGGTTGTTAATTGCCAGCAGAGGCCGACAAACGTGAAACGAAAGCGCATACATTACAGTGAATCGTAACGTGATCACTGTCATTAATAGGATCGGAGCAGCACTTAGAAAGCCGCGGCTTCCTTTTCTGGCCTGCTTATTTTGACTGTGCCACATAGCGTGATTCCCATCCAAACTAAACTAAATCCACGCTCTTAATCGATTATCAAATCCAACGTATTATTACTTTCAATTTTTAATATAAGAGCTAATTTAATTCTTAATTTCATTTTAAATAATATAAGATTATAATTTACTTTATCTCTTGTATTTATTTATTTTTTTAAAATAATTCTTGATTGCTAATAATATTTTAAGAAATACAATACATATTTATTAAATAAATAACTAAGTTAACTAATTTTCTTAATCTACTCAAATTAGATAACTAGCTCTTCTATTAACGGGTGAACATAGTAATTATCAGCCATGCGTTCCCTGGTAGATATGCGAGGATACCATACAAAACCCCACGCGTGTAAGCTGTAATCCGTCAATGGCCAATCGAGTTGCATCTCAACCACAAAAGCTTATTAAAATTTCAGGGTCAAGCTTGCTATATGCGTTCCCAATCATTCAAACAATTTCCAATTCCGCTGTTTATTAATTATTACCATGTGGTCATCCTTTTTCCCTCGTGTGTGAATTTTCACTACGAATTTTATATCACGCAGGATATATATATATATATATATATATATATTACTTAAAACGATGTGGATTCAGAAGGGAAACTGACGCCGTAAGAATTGTTAAATGTTGTGGTTAAATGAACGCATCTGGATTGGCAACAACCCCCCTCTCTTTTTCCCTAGCAATTAAAGATTTATAACAACGTGATGATTGAGAACGATTAATCCTTAAAACTAGGCGAACAAAAGGAAATTTAGAATTCTACAAAAGAGATTATTGCTCTTGGGGTACGGGTCGTGGAATGAATGATGAGGGGGCAGAAAAATAATTATAATGGCAAGAAGGACGATAATTCCGTGAGGTTCCAGCATGTGGGGGTTGGGTACAGTGACAAAGCTGTGGCGTCCATACGATTCAACAGCGACGTGTCTTCGTTACGTACATTACCATAATCCAATTCGCAGGTTCGTCACTTCTTTCGTTTCCAGTTAATTTATTAGTACTGTCTCTTATCCTAATTATAAAATGTCACCTGTAGTTCTTATAAATAAGAACGGAGGTTGTGTTTCTTAACGTGCCTTCATTAAGCAAGGAGATTTTACGTGGTAAGGCTCTTCCTCCTGCGAGAATCTTGCATTGGTAGAGAGGTGGAAAGGGCTTTTTTACCGATATACGATAAACAGTAAAACAATATACCAAAATGCTACACTTTTGAAACTATTTACCAATATATTGCACTTAAAATCGTTCTTGACAAGAACGATTTTAAAATTACACACAAGTTGTTCTTGGCGTGAACGATTTCAGAAATCGTTCATGCCAAGAACGATTTTACTTTTTCCTGTTCACTCTCTCATATACGAATCTCTGCCAATTTTACATGCAAAAATGAGAATTCTTGACAATACTCTCATGAGGCTATAACGTTTATATTGCATTAAAATTTGAAAATCCCAAATTTTTTTATTTTTTAAGTAGAGCTTGATGAAATTTTCTATTATTTCCTCTTCTTTTTATTTTGCTCATATCAAACAATACGTAACAAAAAAATTATGCTTTGATTGTAAATTTTTAATTGTAGCAATTAAGCTATAGGACTATATTATTATTATTATTATTATTATTATTATTATTATTATTATTTTGGTCACAGGCATAAAAGGTCTATGCCCAATACTTGATTTCTCATCAAACCGAACAAATGCCACACGACAGGCTTTTTTACCAAAATACTACAAAAAGTAAAATTATATACTAATATGCTGTACTTTTAAAAGTATTTACTAATATGCTACACTTAAGATCGTTCTTCAAGTGAATAATTTTTAAAGTCATTTATCTGCTGAATAATTTTTAAAAGCATATTGGTAAAAAAGCCTGTCGTGTGGTATTGTTTGGTTTGACGAGAAATCAAGTATTGGGCATGAACCTTTTATGCCTGTGACCAAAATAATAATAATAATAATTTAGTCATACAACTTAATTGCTACAATTAAAAATTTACAATCAAAGCATTTTTTTGTTACGTATTGTTTGGTATGAGAAAAATAAAAAGAAAAGGAAATAACAGAAAATTTCATCAAGCTCTATTTAAAAAATTAAAAAAATTGAGATTTTGAAATTTTAATGCAATATAGACGTTGTAGCTTCATGGGAGCATTGTTAAGGATTCTTATTTTTGCATGTAAAATTGGCAAAGATTCGTATGTGAAAGAGTGAACAGGAAAAAGTAAAATCGTTCTTGGCGTGAACGATTTCTGAAATCGTTCACGCCAAGAACGACTTGTGTGTAATTTTAAAATCTTTCTTGCTAAGAACGATTTTAAGTGCAGTATATTGGTAAATAGTTTCAAAAATGTAGCATTTTGATATATTGTTTTACTGTTTATCATATATCGGTAAAAAAACCGGTGGAAAGAAAAAGAAAAGCATAGACTCTCAGAAAAGGCGAGGAAGCCACTCCAACAGCCGGCATCCGCATCACAGAAATCAAGGCATTGACTCTGCCTTTTTTTATCCCATTTATAAAATTATACTGCATAAAAATATGTGTAAATTTTACATTCTTAAAATAAAGTATATATTCCTCTAATTCTTAATATAAGACTCATTTAACTAATTTGATTAGATTAAAAAAGTTAGGTAAATTAGTTAATTATAAGAAAAGTGACACATTTTTCTTAAAATACCATAATCATCTTTCTTAATACCCCCATCTCTTTTCTACTTGATTATGGTTGAGAAAGTATCTATAAGGGTAATTTAGAGAAAATTGATAAATATGAGAAATGAGTCTTATATTTAGAATCAAGACCAACTCAAGAATTGGATACTATATTAAGAATCAGAGGAGTATTAAATAAAAATAAATTTATTAAATTTTAAGACAATTAATAAGATTTAATATTTTTATTGACTCCCATAAAACATATTAAAAATAATTTATAAATAAGACTAAATAAACATTATACTTACTAAAATATTTTTAATTCTTTTTAATTATAAAATTATCGTCACACAGTTTCAAACTCTCAATTATTATTATTTTGCGCCATCACGTCGGTCATTATTTTAGCTACGCACCATCCTTCACTGTACTGCCGTAATTAGTACTCCCGTCCTTTTTATAAGATTTAAATAATCAAATTGCATGATTTAGGCAATATGTTATAATTAATTAAAAGTAATAAGTACGTGAAAAAAATATATTTTTGTCTAAATATATTTGTATTTACAAGAGGATAAGTGAAAGACAGAAATAATGAGAAAAAACATAAAAAGAATATGTCAAAAAATAATGTAATTAATTGTAGGGTAAAAATGATAAAAATGCTCTCTTTTTTTATAGCAGTAATTAGTACTCCCGTCCTTTTTATAAGGTTACAATAATTGAGTTGCATGATTTAAGTAATATGGTATAATTAATTAAAGGAAAAATTGTCAAAAAAAGATATTAAAAATTAAAAAATTACATATAGGGACCCGTTTACAAAAATTATTGTCATTTACTCATCAATTATTATCAAAATCAATATTAATATTGTAAAGAGTCCCAATTTGTAATTTTTCTATTTTCAAGATCTTTTTTTACAATGTTTTTCTTAATTAAAAATAATAAATATGTAAAAAATATTTTTGTCTAGATATATTTGTATCTACAAGAGGCTAAGTGAAACACAGAGATAATGAGGAACAAAACATAAAAAGAATATGTAAAAAAAAATAATGTAATCAATTATAGGTAAAACTGATAAAAATGTATTTAATGTTTAAATAATTTCAAACTAAATCTTACAATAAGAAGAGAAGTAATTTAAAAATTTGAATGATGTGAAAGGTAGAGGAGTAGTAGAACTTGTTAAGAGCAAGACGGGAGGCGAAATTGAAATTTTAAACCCTCAATCCTTGGAAGAGGAGGCCTCCATAACCAAAATCCAGGAACCAAATTCCCAAGCCGAACTCCGGGATATAGGATTATATAAGAGAAGTTGTTCGACCTGATACTCTGTGCGTGGGTATATATGTGAAGATCAAATGGTGGGGCAGAAATTGTGGCTGGAACTGAAAAGCCACACAGGCAAACACTAAAATGAAAGCCATGAATTAAGGATTAACGAGCTACAAGATGCAGCATACAGAAAACAAGCTAGTTGGTAGCTGCATCTGCGTGTGGACATACAAGCAAACACAACGAAGAGGGTATGCAGAAGTCGGACTGAACTTAATTGGAACTGCTGGTCAAAAAAAAAAAAAAAGAACATAATTAGAACTAACTTCAAAGCGAGAGGCTGAGATTCATGCCCTTTTCTGCTTCCCTCTCCTCATCCGCTACTTTCTTCTTATCAGGAGAAGCATGATCTGGTAGAGAGGAGTTCAGAGGAGCATGCTTTTGGCTCCGATCCTGATGAGGATCTACTTCCATGAAATCTTCAATTTGAAACTGCGGCTTCCAAACTCCCACTCTATTCTGTGCCTTGCCGCTCCCATTTTCTGTCTCCCCGTACGCATCTGACCCAAACTTGATCAGCCGTTCGCGGCTCTCTCGAATGCTTCTGACCAGAGCGAAGAATTTCTCCATTTTGATTTCATCATCTTCTTCTTCGTCATCCTCCCCGCAGCAAATCTTCCTCTTCTTGCTGTCGCTCGTGCCCTCCATGCTCACGGGTTTTGATTTAAAGGAAGAAGGAATGTATGGGAAGGAGTAATAGATGAATTTTCCGAGAAAAAAGAGAGAAGGAGCGGTAATGGCATGCAGTTTCCGGGTTGCTTCCCTGGCTATAAGGACATTCATTCCTGCCAAAAGGAATCTAGAAGATCAATATGCCAAGGAGTATGACGAGTTATTATTGTGACGTATATATTCCAAGTCAAGCCAAAAACATTCTATATACATGTTAATTATATTATACGGGCAAATAATTGTGCTTTACAAAAATAATGGTGTTAAATAGCGGCCAGGCGGATACCTCGCGAATGAAGTTGAACAACAATCAAATAGCCCCTGCCTTTCTGTGTATTCCATGCGTTGGTTCTCTTCTTTTTTAAGAAAAAAAAAACGTAATGCGTTGTCGCTTCCCAGTAAAAAACTCCAAAAGGCAAAAAGAAAGCACACGAGATTTCGGTGATACGATGTTCCATTTATTTTATTTTTCATATTTATTTATTTATTTTAAAATCGTTATTATAATAATTGTATATGTTAAATATTTTATTAAATAATAATTGTTCTTAATACATATTATTAATAAGAATCTGATTCTTATATTAAAAAGCGGATCAAGTACATAATCATACATGTGTTTGGGGGTTCTTTGGTAAAAAGCAAGAACGAAGGGGTTAGTCTGGTTTAAAGCAGATCGAATTTCCCTCATTGGATGAGGCCCAGGGCTGACGTCGCTTCCGTTACGTCACTAACCACCATTCGGACAAACAATCTTTCTAAATAATTTCTCACATAAGTGAAGACCTGCCACGTCAACGCGCTTTCGAGTCAACAGAAATACAATTTTTTGTAAGGGAAACAAATCAGAGCATTAAAAAAAAATCCTTATCTAATTGGAATGTTACGTTCTAATCCACTGTAGAGCCGTTAATCCAATTAAAAATGGTTACCGTAGTTACCGCATTTTATACGCATTAAAAAGGGTGTCAATAATCAATAACGCAGTAGCTCTGCCTCGTAAACCGTTCATTTTTATTTTTAATAGACGAGACTGTGTCGGAATGAACTATATATATATTTATATATAGTGGTCACAAGACATCATAAATATCACATCGTATATGCATGAATTTATTGCCCTGATCTTTCTCTTGAAATTTTGGTAATTTTATTATCTTTTCAGTTTGTCATACTCCTAATAATTTTGAAAACTATTCTATAATGTAATTGGCTAGATTTTATTTAGAACAGAGTTGGTGCCGCATTTTGGCAAAAATCCTTCAGGTGTTTAGATTTATGAATTTTGTCCATCCCGAATTTGTTTAGTCGTGGGGCCTTTTTTTTTTCTTTTTTTGTTTTCATTTTCACCATGCATTTCATTCCTAACATGTCATCCGGTCCTAAATATACATAGGACCGGCTTTATAATGTAAATTAGATTACAAACTGTGTCTTATATTTAGAATTGAAGGATTATTAATTAAGGTTGTCATTTGAGTAAGTTGATCCGGATTTAATTCTTATAGCATATGTTATGCCAAAAAAATTCCTCCAGTATATGAAGCATGTTTACTCGGAAAGATTTCACTTTATTTTTGCTATAAGAAGAAGAGTTTAAAATTTCATATTACCTAAAGTTCAAATTCTGGATAAAATGTTAAATATTTTAGGGAGACTAAAAAAAATATTTGTAAATTTTAAAATTCTAAATTAGTATTGTTTAGTGTTTACTATATTTTAATAATAATTGACAACATTTAAAAATTAAATCACAACACATTTTTGTTGCTATTTCTGAGTTAAAATTTCGAAATTTTAAAAGTATTTTTTGGGATTTTGTAATATTATATGTATGGGAAGCAAGGAAAAATTAATTTAATCCCTTTGGCGGAGGAAAAGAGAAGGAAGGACAGGGAAAAAGATAAAATAGAATAATAATGAAGAAGAAGGAAAGCAAGGGATGGGGGGATGAATATGATCAGCCACCTTAGGAGGAGTGTAGGTAAGCAGTCCGGTCCCTATGAAAGCAGGTTGGAATTCGTAGGCCCATGAAATACGTTGTCCCCCACTCCGCTGATATTGTCAACTCATTTAAGTATCACATTTTAAACACACCATTGGTAAGTAAACGAAATATTGTGGGTAACATGAGAAGAATAAAGAAGATTAAAGGGTAATTTTATCCTGAAGTGTGAACAAATTAAAAGCTTCCTCATTTGCTCTCATTTCTTGGAGTTGCTGTCTCTCTTGCGACACACCCCTGCATTAGAAACCCAAAAGGTCAAGGTCATTCCTCGTCTATTCTGGAATGATTAAAGCCAAAGCTAAACTGAGAAAGCCCACGTCCACAGTCCCCTCCTACACCAGACGCTAAGAGAGAGAGAAAAAAGGAATAATAATTAAGTAGGAGTGAAGAATGAGAGGGCTTTTCCTTTTGCCCTCTCTTGAGGATAACTTGAGGCGGAAGCCTTCCATTGCCCACCCCACCTTCAAGCTGAGCTGTCCCCTTTAATGATTCAGCAGTTGAAAGTCTGGTAGTGCCACAACCCTCATCTCTTCTTTTGTGAACCTCCAAATAAAGCCATTGCCGACCTGCCTGGCTACCTACCTTTGCAACATCATTCTCAATCTTTCACTTTGCCTCCATTTCCTCTTCTTTAGAACAGAACACAGACATTTTGCAGATTAGCTGTTCTGTGAGATCCATTCATTATAATCCTTGATTGCACACTGTAGTCTGGTCGTCATAACAATAATGACAAATTGAAAAGGCGGGAAAATACTTGTGTTTGGCTATCTCAAATCCTAAACCCTGCCCCTTCTCTCTTTAACCCTTTTTCTTTTATTTTGGGTTTCCTTGGTGAACGCATGTCTGGTTTCTACCTACCTTCTTTGCGCATGAAGAATGTGGCCCATCATTTTGCGCGTGCAATGAAAAATCCAATTTGCCCCTCCGTGCTTCTTCATTTCGAGTATCTTGACATTAAAATAAGAAAGGAGAAGTGAAAAAGAAGACTAAATAAAATAGTACTAGCATATCTTCTATGACTTCTCTCCATTTTTGTCTCCCTCTATTCAATTTAAAAATATCTTACGCAGCGACCGAAAGTCTCACCAGTCACCACTTTTCATTAGTGGCACGCGTAGAATTTATCTTCTTATGAAGCTTACTGATTAGTTTGTAATAACTATTGTCCTCTTTTCTAACTTCGATTTTCTTATTCTGCATTAACTTATCTATTCGTTTTCCAATCTGATCACAATGTTATCATGCATGCCAATGGATTCTGCAAGCTTGCAGCCCCTCGGCTCGAGTAGACAAATAGTTCATCCGAGCCAAACCCACAATCCTCTCGTCATCATGGGAAACAGAAATTTTGTTGTTCTGTCAGACATCAAGTCCACCGAAAGAACCACTGTCTGTGCAAGAAACAGTCTTACGTTGTTGAAGCACCCAAGCATAACATTCATTTATAAACTAGCCAAACAAAGAAGCTCTGAAGGGGTGAACAAGTCCAAACTTCCATTCCAAACCTGATTAATTGCAAGATACAGTTTAGCAAATAGTTGGGGGAGGAGCATCTAAAACTCAACTCCTAACATTCATTCGCCTGTAACTTATACAAGGACACACAACACTTTCACAATTATAGAAACGGGTATAAGATTGGATCAGCAACGATCCAAGTCATTGTGTAAAAAGGAACGAGGAAGCCTATCACGCAAGCAAGTGACGGGTGGGATTGTGGGGGTCTGCAAATCTCCATAAGCATTCCAACAGAAAGGATCAAGCACGGCGTCTCGTTGAGCAGGATGAAGCTCTATGTCTGAGAGGGCTAGGTGGGTGCAGGGGACTGAGTCACTACAGGCAAAACGCATAGGTGGGCTCCTAACATCGTAGCTTCCCTTGATGTTGGTGTACACTATATCTGATACAAACACTGCTGAACTCTTGTTGGTGCAATCCTGAGTGACGCAGTAGAACTGATCTATTATGATGGGGTTCTTCACACTCTCCATCTCAATGTTACTGAATGACACTTTGAATACTGATCCCGATCCGCCTTGCCACGTCTTTATTCTAACCCCATTATCTGACTCTTTGATCACCGATTCCCTCACCTTGATGTTCCTAACACAGGCTCGAGTGTTGCGTTTCCCCAAACTTCCAATGCTGAATTCAGCAACAACGTAACAAAATTAGCTCACAGGACATGTACGTTTGGGACTGGAACTTTTATGAAAAGTACCTTATTCCATGACCAGGTCCACATGAGATATTCTTGATATCCACATCATAACAACCAGTTCCAATGGACACACAGTCGTCGCCTGAAAAAAATCAATATATTACGGGACAAGTGTAAGAGAATTAGAGCGAGGTTATGTTTTCCGGTGTAGTTTTGTGACTGACCATTAGAAATCACAGAATTGTATATTCTAACGTCCTTGGTATTTTCGATGTGAATTCCGTCTGTATTGGGACTTAGTGCCGGGGATGTTATGTGGATTGATTCAACGTGGACGTTTGTGCAGCCATCAAATCTGAAATGAAACTGGGGGCTGTTCTGGATCCTCACTCCTTTCACAGTCAAATTTGAGCTCATAAAGAACCTTATGGCCTGAACCATAGACATGCCGAGCATCATGTCCTTTATCAAGTTATAATGCAATGACAGAAAAAACAAAATGGAGAAGAATGTGTCCACAACTTACAACTGGGCTATCACAACGCCCTGGCAATGTTGTCCCCTGAGGTCCCTGTACCGTTCAAGGTGGGTTCAACAACTGTTTGATGCGCACCAGTTTTTAAAACTTTCGATATTAAATTTCAAATTATCAATACCTTGTGAGGCTTACAGGGAAGGTCCCACCATTTTTCTCCTCTCCCATCTATTAAGCCTCCTCCTTCAAGCGACATGGGGTTGATTCTGTAAAATACAAGCCATTGGCGCCGAGTGATGTTCCCAGGCCAAGATTCAGGTCCATCAGGT